TGCCTTCTCCACAAGAAGTCCAGAGGGCAGCAACACGAGGATGGGCCTTTTCTGTGGTGGCTCCCTGTTTGTGGGATGCTATTCCCAGGGAAGCTCACCTGGCACCTTCATTGCATATCTTAAGGCACCAGACAGAAACATTTCTCTATAACTAGGCCTTTGGCTGATAAAACATTCTGTGGTCTTTTAAATGTGCTTGTGGGAGGGAGGCTATTCATTTGTTTTTGTTATTTTTCTTTTATTATGTATTTTGGGTTTTTTTATGTTGTGAATTGTCCTGTGATCTTCAGATGAGCAGCGTTATCCAAATTTTGATGATGATGATAATACAGTGGTACCTCGGGTTGCAAACGCTTCAGGTTACAAATACTTCAGGTTACAAACTCCGCTAACCCTGAAGCAGTACCTCGGGTTGAGAACTTTGCCCCAGGATGAGAATGAAAATTGCGTGCCAGCGGCACAGCATCAGCGAGAAGCCCCATTAGTGAAAGCGCGCCTCAGGTTAAGAACAGTTTCAGGTTAAGAACGGACCTCTGGAGCGAATTAAGTTCATAACCTGAGATACCACTGTAATCATCATCACCATTATCATCATCATCATCAGTTGTCTAAGAGGTCTGTTGTCAGGGGGAAAGGCAGAACATATATATTGTAAATATGCTGCCCTGGGCTCCCTTGGGAGAAATTGTGGGATATAAAATTAATAAATAAGCAAATAAATGTGAATAACTTTTGAATAGAGCTTCAGTTATTGAGTAGGTGGGGGATGTTAGAGGTGTGAAGAAGTCCAAGGTAGGCACTGTGAGGAAGTGGGACTAAATGTATCACGTAGGAATCATGAAGCATAGTTTCTTTCCCACTTCTTTTCATCACAGTTTTCAAAAGAGTCTGTGGTGCTGCAAAGTGCCATTTTTATTGAGGAGTAAGAAAAAGGAAACATATCTCAGTAATTTTCTCAGAAAAATATATTTAAGAAAGTTTGGCTCAGTTCTCCTGGCACTTGAATCTGGGACCATCTGCATAGAAGGTATGTATCCTTTGACATAGCTATGGTCCTTCCCAAAAGACTGTGCTATCATTTCAATGACTGTTAACTCCATTACATAGTGGCATGCTAATAGTTCTAATCTAAGTGTCTGTGGTTCAGCTGCCCCTAATACTGAATTATCATCATTGCACTAAAGCAAGAGACACTTTTGTCATAATTAAGTTTTCAAATGAATCCCACTTGGAGGAATTTTTCTTCATTAAAGAATCATTTCAGTTTCCTTATCTGCATCATTTGGCTGAGGATTAAAGGGTTCCCACTGCTGCTGTGTGCCAGCAATTTCAGTGAGGAGACTTCTAAAGTCATGCAACCAAGAGTATTTTTTGTTTCTCGTTTCCTTGACATCTACAACAATGGCTGTCCTGTTGCCGTAAATTTGCCATTAACAGCAATAACAAGAAAAACACTTTTGTCAGGTGGAATGCTAAAAACCACATAAACAAAAGGCACTCTAGAATTCTCTTACTTACCAAAACCCTTCTGATGGATTGGACAAACGGTATACAGTTTCAGGTTAAGAACGGACCTCCAGAACGAATTAAGTACTTATCCCGAGGTACCATTGTACAGTGGCAACCTCGGGTTACATACGCTTCAGGTTACAGACTCCGCTAACCCAGAAATAGTGCTTCAGGTTAAGAACTTTGTTTCAGGATGAGAACAGAAATCGTGCTCTGGTGACGCAGCAGCAGCAGGAGGCCCCATTAGCTAAAGTGGTGCCCCAGGTTAAGCACAGTTTCAGGTTAAGTACGGACCTCCGGAACGAATTAAGTACTTAACCCGAGGTACCACTGTATACATGTTGAAACGAGCCACCTCTACTTGCTGGAACATCCAACTGTCTGTAAGCTGTAATTGTGGCTTAATGACAGAGATAGCCAATGGGTGCCTTCCAGATGTTATGGACTTCAACTCCCAACAGCCCCAGCCAACACAGCTAGCCATCAAGGTTCAGGATGATGGGAGTTGTAGTTCCCGAACATCTGTAGATGCAGGGTTGAAGAACACGGATCTTGGTAAGGCTCCGGGAGTGTGTTCAAGGCAAGTCTCTTTTCCTTTTTCTTAAAGCCCTGAAGGCAACTTTGGATGGATTCTGAGAAGGGTGATGTGACACATTTTTTAATTGGGATCCACCATTATGGGAGAAGGACGAGTTGCAGAGATAAATAGTCTTGGGAGAGGTGAGCTCTTAATTTGGTATTAGATCTGTACTTCAAGTCCGATTTGGCAAATCTCCCCTAGAAAGACTAATGTTTGATGCAACCTGTCTGAGAAAATTAATGAGCAAACGCCCAGATTTTATTTCATCGGAACTGAGTGAAGATGGCGTCTGCCACCAGAGAAGGACTTTCGGATTGATTCGGCATAAACACCAGCGTGTGAGGACATTCTGCAAACAACAGACTTACCAGCTGCCAAAAAAAGGAAAGCCATACAAATTTCACACAGAAGCACATTACTGTTTATTTCAACTCGCCTGTGGAAACAGCTCAGAGGCCACGAAAGAAGGAAGGATAACAACAGGAAGATTTAAAGAAGGAACTATTGGAAACTCAAGGCAGTAGAAACATAAGGTGATTGGAACCCCACTGAACTTGAAGCACGGGAAGCCCCAACAAAAATTTATAATTTGGCAGGATATTTGGACTATATGATATGTATTTGTATAATTTGGAATACTTAATGGGATTCGATTGGATGGCTAAAATGGAAAATTTAATAAAAATTATATATAAATAAATAAATAAAGCCCTGAAGGCATGTCTAAGGAGTCCCTTTTTGCCACCTGGGCATCTCTGGGTACTTACCAATGACTTTGGCTGTAATCTACATCCACGGGCACCCCACTATTTCACACTTTCACGGGCACCCCACTATTTCACACTTCAGCACCAGCTCTAAAAGCCCAGGGTGGAAAATGGACACAGTGACTATTCTAAGCCCTGCTCCTCCAACACCCAGCAGGCATTCGTACATCCCTCTTTGTATCCTACCTCTATCTAACGCAAGTAGCAGCCCCCTCCACCTGGGGAAATGATTCCCTATTCACAAATCACAGGCCATTAATTATTACGATTATTATTTCATACATCGCTCATCTGACTAGCTTGCCCCAGCCACTCTGGCGGCTTCCAACAAATTAAAACACAGCAAGACATCAAACGTTAAAAACTTCCCTGTACAGGGCTGCCTTCAGATGTTTGCATGGGGGTTGCATTCCAGGTCATGGCATGCATAAGCGGTTGCATGTAAGCCGTAGAGTGGCAGCTCTGGGGGGGAGGGTCATTGACCACCCCAGCATCCAGTTTAGCAAGGAGGTCCTCTACCGCAAGGATGGCGTGCATCTTTCCAATGCTGGCAATGATATATGGCTTGCTGACATCTTCATGGGGATTAGGGACTGGTTGCAGGTCTGAGCGGATTGGCGGCAAGCTTGGGGCTCGTGTGGCGGTTAGGCATTGGTAGGGATATTATTATGCTGATGAGTTGGGGGGGAGCGCCATCACCTCCCCCAAATGCTGAGGGGTAGTCCAATAAAGGATTCCGGGGGGGGCGTTGCCTCGTCCGAAACCTATGGAGGCTGGGGCCTAAAGCGCGCTCCCAAGCGGTGACCCCTCGGGGAGCACCTAGGGATGTGCATCTCAGGGGCTCCCCCTGTTGGAGTTAACCCCTCCCAGTCTTATGCCAGATAGTCTGATAGGACCAATGCCTAAAGCCAATACCGCTCTTACCTGTAATCAATAAAGTTGTGGCCATTTTTTGCCCATTAACCTTAAATTCTGGTGTCCTGTGTCTTTATTTCTATCCAACTGGGGGGGGGGGCCGGAATCGCCAAGCAAGCGATTGCATGTAAGCCTGTTCTGCCCCTGCCCCATTCCACCCCTTCCCCACCCCCTTCCAGGGCCAAAAACATGATGCTTCCTGGCGGTCACATGTAATTTGAGAAGTGTGGTACAGATCAGTTTGCATTGGATTTCACAAAGACTGCATTTCCCATGAATCTCTATTTCAGTATGACTGGGCTACCTATTTGCGTCCCACCTCCATCCAAGGATGGGCACCAGACAGCTGCTCTTTAGACTGGGCAAATGAGTGGAACAATTACGTACCTATCAGCAGTTAGCTCAGGATTGGGGCAGGTTGTACTGAAATTCACAAAGATCAAATTCTTCACACGTTTCTTACTTTCATCGCTTTGGGTTCCCAACTTCAGTGGCCAAGTGAGTGGCTTGCCTCAATCGTATGATTATTTCCCACAATAGTATTACACCTCCCTTTGTTCAAAACACTGTCATACCCAGTTTCCTTCCCAAGAAATAAACACATTAACTACTTACTCTCTCACTCTCTCTTTCTCTCACTTTGTTTATCAGTCAGCATGTTATACAACCTTGATGCAACATTATAATTTGTTTCAATTTGCTAAGGAGAATAATTATCCAAATAGTTCAGCATGACTCTTCGCTCCTGACCACAGCAAATCACCCTGCTGTGCCTCAAAGCTTGTTTGTTCCATTTCCCTTCTCTTATTTTAAACCCCTCACAGTTCTGAATTTTCTTTTATTTAAAGTAAAATTGGATACCAACTGTGCAAGCTTCTGCAGCAAGCTCTTTTGTGAAGACTGTTGCATTTTTTCCCTAGGAATATGCTAAGCGTTACACTGACTAGGGACTTGTGCTTTGTTACCTAAGGAAAGAGGGGGAAATACTCAACAAAATGGTAGAGGAAGGGAACTGTCCCTTAAAGTACATGTTAGAAAAAGGATATAAGCTTAGAGAAGGTGGGAGCTTCCTCAGGCTACAAACAGATGAAAGGACTAAAACTCAGCAAGGAACAGAGAAAGCTGCCTTATGTAGAATCAAACCATTAGGTCCATCTGCCTCTGTAGTGTCTACATTAACCAGCAGTGGCTTTCCAGGATTTCAGACAGTGAGTCTCTCCTAGCGCTACTGGAACATGATGGGATTGAACCTAGGATCTTCTGCATGCAAGGCAGACACTCTACCATTGAGCTACATCCATTTCCCAAAGGATTCTCTGAGGATTGTAGTGGAAAGCTAACCAGCTCAATGTGACTCTGGAAATGGAAGAACTGTCAGTCATGAGGCTGAATTTTTACCACTAACTATAAGCAACATAGGAATTCACCATATACCAGGTCAGACTGTTTCTCCATCTTGCCCAGCTTTACCCAGCCTGGTGCCCATCTGGGTGTTTCGGATGGCAACTCCAATCAGCCTCAGCCAGCAAGGCCAATGGGCAGGGCTGATTCAAGTTATATTCTAGAATACCTGGACCAGGGTAACAAGCTAGGAAAGGCTGTTTGGTTTTCTCAGTAAAGTGCTATCAGGGTTTCTTTCATCTTTGAACCCTGTTTGCATTATTTCAGCAGCTTTGCTGAGAGGAAGTCCTCCTTATTACCTTTAAAAAAAGCATGGGAGGAGGAAGATGCAGGAAGTGGTGTGCAAAGGGGACTGCCCAAAAGGAATCAGGAGGTATGGATGTGGGCATGAGGGTGAAAAGGGGTACAAAGCTAGGCTGAGGAACAGAAGAGAGAAGTGACCTCAGAAATGGGGTTGGGAAGGTGAGAAGTGAGATCAGTAGTTGAATGGGGTGGGAAGGGGAAGCTCGGGGTGTGTGTGTAACATGGAAGATATGGCAGAACATTTGGTAAGCAGAGTGAGCAGGGGTGCAGCCCCTCGTCTAAGTACAGTGGTACCTCTGGATAAGGACTTAATTCATTCTGGAGGTCTGTTCTTAACCTGAAACTGTTCTTAACCTGAAGCACCACTTTAGCTAATGGGGCCTCCCGCTGCTGCCGCGCCGCCGGAGCATGATTTCTGTACTCATCCTGAAGCAAAGTTCTTAACCCAAGGTACTATTTCTGGGTTAGCGGAGTCTGTAACCTGAAGCGTCTGTAACCTGAAGCCTATGTAACCTGAGGTACCACTGTATAATTTTAAAAGGCCAAATGGTAATGTCTTGGGGAGTGACATACAACTGTGTGGAGGCTAGATATAGCCTACAAGCCGCTGAGTAAGCCACTCCTGATTTACATAAATAACAATGATGGCGGAAAGAAAAGGAAGATAACAGTGTTTATAATGAGAAAGTGCAGTGCAGGCATCAATAGGACAAGCCAGGGCGTGCTGTTATTCACCCTTAGCTTAATGTATAAAGCTATACATCTTAATAAAATAACAATAATCATAGGATCTGGGCATCATCACAGGCAAGCCCATGCAAGTTAATCAACTGGCTATAACATTGATTAATTTCGAAGCATAAATTGGATTGTAAATAGATATCATGTAGAGGCAAGGGAAATATTAAAATTGCAAAGCAGTCGGTTTTAAAATATATGAAATTAGTAGCAGAACTTTTAGGGGAAATATAAATTGCCTAGAATGAAAACGATCCCAGTGGCAATATTGGTAAATGGGTTACTGTCAAAGTATTTTAAAAGATACCTTGAAGAAATTGATTCACTGATGAGATTTGTGTATCAAATATGTAGCTATTATCTTAGAAACCAAAACAATTGCCCAACTTGTAATTTCTATCAGATGCTCTTAGATTTAAGTGCTAATTTAGGGAAGAAAGCATTTCCCACATTCTACTTCTTTATTGTTCCTCTGGTTCACTCTACCCCTACGTTTCATTCTTCTCAAATTATGATTAACTAGGAGAATTCCTAAAATTAGTTTCTGAATTGGAGGACACACACTTGATTGGCTTCTTCAGCATATTTGTGTCTTTCCTATTTGACCAATGCATCTGAGAGCTAGGCATATAATGCTGTTACCTTGCTGTAGCTAAAAGGGCCTTTGTGCTCAGTACTTGTGTGTGAGAATGTCGGGACTCAGGCCTGCTGAGACCTATAACCCAAGGTATCCTTGGAGGAGAAGCAAAGAAAACAGGGCCCTTGCGCAGCACATCTTCAGGTGTGACTTAGGTGTTCTGCCAAAAGTTCCAGGTGCCTAAGGTAGGGATTCTACCTACTGCCTTGTTTTTGCTTAATATAGTCAAGGAGAGCGCAAAATATGGTCTGAAGCTCAACATCAAAAAAGCTAAGATCATGGCCACTGGTCCCATCACCTCCTGGAAAATAGAAGGGGAAGAAATGGAAGCAGTGAGAGATTTTACTTTCTTGGGTTCCATGATCGCTGCAGATGGTGACAACAGTCACAAAATTAAAAGACGCCTGCTTCTTGGGAGAAAAGCAATGACAAACCTAGACAGCATCTTTAAAAGCAGAGACATCATCTTGCCGACAAACGTCCGTATTGTTAAAACTATGGTTTTCCCAGTAGTGATGTATGGAAGTGAGAGCTGGACCATAAACAAGGCTGATCGCTGAAGAATTGATGCTTTTGAATTATGGTGCTGGAGGAGACTCTTGAGAGTCCCATGGACTGCAAGAAGATCAAACCTATCTATTCTGAAGGAAATCAGCCTTGAGTGCTCACTGGAAGGACAGATCCTGAAGTTTAGGCTCCAATACTTTGGCCACTTCATGAGAAGAGAAGACTCCCTGGAAAAGACCCTGATGTTGGGAAAGACTGAGGGCACAAGGAGAAGGGGACGACAGAGGACTAGATGGTTGGATAGCTTACCAACATGAGTTTGACCAAACTGCGGGAGGCAGTGGATGACAGGAGTCCCTGGCGTGCTCTGGTCCATGGGGTCACGAAGAGTCAGACATGACTAAACGACTAAACAACAACAAGCCTTCCCCAGCCTGGTGGCCTCCAGATCATCATGATGATCACTGGCAATGCTGGTTTGGGCTGATGGGAGTCGGAGTCCAAGACATCCAAAAGGCACCGTGATGGGGAAGGCTGATCAATAGTTTGTTAAGCAAAAAGTAAGAAGACTCTTCCACTGAGAATTAGGTGTTAATGTTCTAAAATAACCATACATTTTATTAATAGGCCAACTGGATTTGAACATGGAGTGCCTATAAGTCTGGCTCTTTTCACACAGATCCTCCCTGTATCTCTGCATTTGTTACGCTGCTCGGTTTATTTTTTGGAGGTCATTGCAGCATCACAGGGGTGCAGATCCCCTGATCACTTCCCCAGTAGCCCCAGCAATATTCTCTCCCTGCAACCTGCTCACTCCCTGAGGATAGCCATCCATCATGCCATGTTGCAGCTCTCTCATAGATACTTCCCTGTTTTCTATTACTCTTAGTCAGCCTCAGAGGTTCCTTCCTATTTATCAAAATCACACAAGCCCTTCAGTGTTTTCTTAGGTGTGCATTCAGTGGAACGGCAAAGAAAGAGCCCTCAGGGAGGAAGCAGGAAAAGAGGGCAAGCTTTTGTTTACCATCTGGACAGTCTTTTCCAAACTGACATATACATGGGCACATTGAACAAAGGCTCTCAGTTATTAGCCCTGGATGCAGCCTGTTCAAGGCCAATGCTAGACTCTGCTGCCAAATTCAAGATTAGGATTCAAGGTTACCCATAAGTAACAGATTCTCACCAGCAAAATGAAGCAAGGTGAGATGTTGTGCTAACAGCGTGGCAGGAAACTCCTAGCTTCAGAGAAGTTGGTGACAAATAAATCAGCAGCAGCATCCTAATGAGGGATTGGAGGGCGGGGGCGTTAGGTACACATTTCATTATGTAGGTGGCTTAATTGGCACTTCTTGAAACAATGCACAAACTGAAACATAGCCATCGTTAAAAATGTGCACTCTAACAATTGCTTTTCTTACCCCCAAAAAGTGTGTATTAGCCGAGAGTGTGCATAAAGATGTACAGGTGAAACTCGGAGAAATAGAATATCGTGGAAAAGTTCATTTATTTCAGTAATTCAACATAAAAGATGAAACTAATATATGAGATAGACTCATGACTTGCAAAGCAAGATATATCAAGGCTTTTTTTTTGTTATAATTGTGATGATCATGGCGTACAGCTGATGAAAACCCCAAATTAACAATCTCAGAAAATTAGAACATTAAATGAAATCAGCAAAACAAGGATTGCAAATAGAGCAATACTGGACCTCTGAGAAGTAGAAGCATGCATATGTACTCAGTACTTGGTTTGGTTTATGACATGGCTCCCCAAATCAACACAGACTGTGGAAATTTCACACTGGACTTCAAGGATCTGGCATTGTGTGCCTCCCCATTCTTCCTCCAGACTCTGGGTCCTTGGTTTCCAAATGAGATGCAAAAGCTGCTCTCATCAGAAAAGAGATTTGGGGAGCCATGTCATCAGCTGGTGTTGGTCCACTGTGCTTCATTAAATCCAGGGTCAACACAGCCGTCTACCAGGGGATTTTGGAGCACTTCATGCTTCCTTCTGCAGATGAGCTTTATGGGGATGCTGACTTCATTTTCCAGCAGGACTTTGGCACCTGCCCACACTACCAAAAGTACCAAAACCGGGTTCAATGCCCATGGGATTACTGTGCTTGATTGGCCTGCAGACTCACCTGACCTGAACCCCATAGAGAATCTATGGGGCATTACCAAGAGAAAGATGAGAGACATGAGACCGAGCAATGCAGAAGAGCTGAAGGCTGCTATTGAAGCATCCTTCAGCAGTGCCACAGGCTGATAGCATCCATGCCATGCCACATTGAGGCAGTAATTGATGCAAAAGGGGCCCAAACCAAGTATACATAGAAGTGAAAACAAAATATATTCCATTTGTGGAAATTCCATAGAAAACAAGTGTGTATTCTTAGAAATGTATCCAAAATGCTCACAAATATTTCTGAGGACTTTTTTAAAAAAAATGCAAAAGGATTCAAAAATGTTGTGAATTGAATTTAGGATTGGAAAAAATGTAGGAGAGAAACTGAAATTGATGGGTTCATTATTCCTAATCGTAATGTGTTTCAGAAGCCCCCAGTCACTCTCAAAAAATTCTGCAGGTACCATATTCATATCTAACTCAAAGCCACCCAAAGTACTGACATCTGTCTTACATAAATTAAGCACACTTCACTCTGACATATGTCATTGGTCTTTCTTCCTGGTAGTTTACCAAATTTACAGAGGAG